TGAATTATGATTGATGAAATGAAATTTGATTTGAAATTTGGTTTGCTGTCGAAAATCGTGTTTATGATCTAAAAATCAAAATTTGACATAGAAGTCTAAAAATAAGGTATTTCATCTCCTTCAATTAGGCTACAATTGAAGTATGTTTTTATATCACTCTAATCTAAACTCCTCATTTTGCATAAAAAAATATATCCATACCCGTTGCATGAAGTACTATTTCAAAAACTAAAATACAATTTTTTCTGAGATGTGGTCATTGGCAAACTATTAGACACAATTAGATAGCAAAAAAAGAGGCAAAAAATGTGGAAAATTCATAAAAATAGGAAAAAACCATACTTAAAAATCCTTCCAATGCTGTCACATTGTCTCGAATGGTCAAACGATAACCAAAATTTAGCAAAAGTATTTTGGTCTTTAAGATGAACATATTACAACAAATCGTACATCAAAATTCGTATTTTAACAACTTTTTGTATTCACCCCAGAAAAACAGAGTAAAATTTGAAAAAGGAAAATCCAACTTTAAGTCTGTGCAGATCTATGAGGGATGGACTTAGAGGTTCAACATTTTTGAACGTAATTATTTTTCAATGTAGCCTTTAAGAGTACTTAGTTTTATTTTCGTGCGATATAACCCATATACATGAATGTAGGTGTACACGCGTATATTACATATACAACGTGACCTGTTCAACTTCTCCCTACCTTCTACTCCCTCTTTACTGACTGCGCCTCGACTGCCGCTGCCTCGGCTCCCTCTGCTCCCTCACATACACATACAGCCCGTCGCTTGCGCGCTATCGAACGCAACTACGTAGCATTCTTATCGGAATCGATGCCTATTATGGATTAAACAATAAGCGTACATGCATACGTAGGTATCGGAGCTCGCATCGATCCCTTTGCGCACTGGCCGACGCGCGAGCCCAACGTTCCTTATTGAATATATGTACGGCCCGTGGTGGACTTGCGTATGCGATTCCTCGTCCCTCCCGTGTCTGCCCCCCAAGCTCCTTGGAGAATTCCCGCTTCCGAGCAGGGCTTGTCTGATCTAGTTGCGCTAGTACGTGCTGAATTGGCGCGCGAATGCGCCTGAATCAGATGATTTGTCAAAGCTGCCCGCAGTACAAGCAGTCGCGACGTGGAAAATACCGAGGACGTACAAACATGGGCCAACAACCTCCTTCGATCACCTACCGGATCTATACGTGTATATCTTACAACATGGATTCTACATGCTCGCTTAGTCCGAGACCCATGTTTCGAGCCATTGTTACCTGTACTCGCGACTACGGGGACGCCGACCATTCTAGTTCGCACAATGCAGATTATAAGTCTCGAATGGATGATGGTTTCGCGTTTCGACGCCTAGCTGCCTTTAAGCTCCACAACGGGCGCAACTCTGGGTAACATATAGTACAAGCTCACAATCACAGTGAGAATGAGTGAGTTGCAGTAGCTGTACATTCACCTTGCGTGAACAGCTGCCCTGTCCAGGGTCGCCAAGCGTATCTAATGGTTTTACGCCTACGTGCAGGCGTAACCACGTCAGGCGCCACACTATATGTACTATGCAGTCTCGACGGTCGCTTGACCGGCTGACTATTTCTCGAGTAGAGCCACTCACTCGTCTTTACACTCTCTCTCTCTCTCTCGCTCTCTCTGTATTTTCCATCAGTTTCTCAGACCCATTCAACTATTTTCTCACATTTGTAATTTGTACACGACTTATGCTCCCCTTGATTTATGACATACACCTATTGTAAATATCAACGCGACTAGGTATACGAGGGTGATTTTTGCTCTCGAGGTCAATCGTCTTTTTCAGCATTGAGAAAAAAGTGAAAGAGATTTACGCATTATACGTGTATATAGCCACACAGCGAGCCCCTTTGAGGGGAGAAACTCGCCTTAACGTGTACAGCCACTACTACAACGTAAGCAAGGGGCTCGAGCATCCGAATAGATCACTCACTGCGCGACTATGTTTGTCGCTATGTGCCGCTCGATCCCATTAACTCGGCCCCCCTCGATTTTTCAAGTACAGTAATGTGGGAAAATGAAACAATGAAAAAAATGAAGCGGAAATACGAATGTTGATTCATTTTTTGCGAGAGGAAATTTCCACCCTGTGTGCGCGTCGATCGACGTTGGCGCTTAAACTAGGTCACTGGGTAATAAACGATGTGTAGCCAAATAAGTCGTAATTGCTCGGAAATCCTCGCAAATTTTTATAAAAGTCAACGTTAAGTGTGTGCCGGGTAAGGTGACAAAATTGAGGCAAAGAACGACGAATGTTTCAAAAATTAACTATTCTGCACTTATTGCGCATCCTTGGGGAAAACCCTGTATTCGAGTGATTAATTACGGTGAATGTAAAACTTTTCGATGTAGCAAATAAATCGAATTATTGACCTTAGAGGATATTAAGTTTCCGAGGCAATTACTCATCTTATCTTCTACACCCAGTATGTGCGTTACACAAGCACTTAACCACTGCTGTACAGTCCAGACACACGCATATTAGATTTCTTGATTCACCCGTTTTTGATATACGTGTAAATCTATATATGGCGCACTCTCTCTGAAAGTAAATAAGCTGAGATTTTTTTCAAGCGATTTTTCTTTGACAAAAATATTCTCAAGAAGCTACGAATATGTTATGATAAACAACATAAAAATCTAAAAGTCAGTCGGATCTAGACTACTTTGAATGCTATTGTTATTACTGACGCTTATTTTACACACAGGGGTGACCCCGACTTCACCACCTTTACGCTTTGCAGCATTAAATTCCTTATAATGTACATAACACTTTTTCCCAAATTTTCGTAGAAAGGAGGTGTGATCATTTTTCTTTACATCAATTTTTTAATCTTTCAAGTCCAGAAAAAAGATGACCCATAGACCCATTAATGCTGTCAAATATATTTTTCTATCTTTGATACGAAAAACCACACGCTCAACACATTATTCAAAAACATATTGTCATCCAATTCGATTTCAGGGAAAATTGGCCACATATATAAACGTTTACTTGAGATGGCTAATAATAACTCGGACAAACAGCAACGTAAGAGGGTTGTATTTTCCGTAAACATAGAGTTTCGAGATTGGCGGCGCAGGCTCTACCAAATATTGACAACACTTATCAAAATCGACGCCGCAACGAGAAAGCTACAAGCTAGGGAGAGAAGGTCGATTCTTCGGAACAAACTGCACTACGTGATCAGTGCCTTCATGAAAATGGGAACACCGTTGTGTAACCAGCCAATGTGTCATTAGTGCGCGCCTGTTTATTTGAGTCTCAAGGTATGTGTGTGTGTGTGTGTGTGTGTGTGTGTGTGTGTGTGTGTATCTTGTGTTGGTTCTTTGATCCTAATATTTGCAGTGTTTACATTTACATCCATCGAAGCCCTACAGTCTCTCTTTTTCCTCAATACTTTGAAAAAAGAACTTTATAGTTTGTTTGACGAGTAGTTGGAACTATTATACATCGTCCTCACTGATTTTTTTCTTTTTCAATGTTTTTTTTCTTGTATACACAATGTGTTATCACGTCAGACATCATAATGAATAGTGGGAGGAATGTTTCCTTTAACGTTATTAGAATGCGCGAGTTTCGACTTACTCGTTGACAGTAAACAAAAAAAGAGAGAATTGTAATAGAGGCAGATGAAAAAACGGAGACATAGTTTAATCGGTTGTTGGATAGTTAAAGAATCTATTCACTGGTGAAAAAAGGCAATTGAAGTTTTTTCTGTAACGTTTTTAATTTTCTCTGATACATATAATACGCGTGCTTAACCAAATAAGCTTGAGCGAGATCGAAGGAGTTGCGTATGTGCATGTATTATAATAGTCTGCACAATCATATTCTGCGGTACACCCGAAGTAAATATATCGGATCATTATTATATCAATGCGATGATACCGAATTTTCGAGTAGTTCTTTCGAAAAGCTTACAAATTAATCCAAATACAAATGTTCTTTTCCATTCCCATCTCTCTCTCTTTGGCTCCCTTGAGAATTTAAGTTATCAGAGCAAAAAACAAATTATTTTTAACCAAAGTCAAATATAAACTGTATCGTTTTTACTTAAAACAATTATCCATTATCTTAGTCATCAACCGTAGTGACTGCTATAAATGCAATTGAAATACCTCTATTGCTATTAACAGCTAATAAAGAGAATAAAGTGAGAGAGAGAGAGAGAGAGAGAGAGAGAGAGAAATAACAAGAACTTTATGATCCAAGTAATGAAGTTAAAAATTAAAGAGTTGCGGTTAAATTGAAAATGTTTAGTAACCAATAATCCTTATATTTGTAATATTTATGTGAAAGAAAAACTACGCTTACGCCATTGAAGTTTCCGAAAAAAAAACACGCAGAGAAAATCTTAATAACAATTAATTACTTCATTAGTAAGAAAGCAAGCTTCTTAGCCAAGGACAGACTTTGTGTTTTTAGCCGATAAACTTGGCAAGATTAGAAAGCTGAAAGTGGTAAAACGAGAGCAATAAAACGAGTTGACGGAAGGTAGAAAGACTAACTTTCTCACTACTCTGATTTCCCGTAAAACAATTGAAAAAATAATCTTTCTCGTTACTAAGTTATACTACTGCAGCACGTACGCCACAATGTGCGCGTATGTAATACTAAAAGAGAAAAAAGAGAGATTGATAATTGCTCATACGGTCTATAATGCACGTATGTGCGTATATAGCGTAGATGGATTAAAGTCGTTGTGAGATGCTAAAAAAATTGCGCAACTATAAACCCGTGTGCGCATGATTTATCCATTAGGATCATAACGCGACCGTTTCTATATTGTATTTAGTCTGTTATATTTTGTAATTGTTTCTATTTGTGAGCGCGTGTGAATGCATGAACTGTAAGTGTGAAAATGGAGTAAACTGTTGAGTATGATCGTGTACGAGAGAGTACATGTATACGCAGACGAAAGAGCGATGATATGTAAGGATCGACTCACCCGAGGCAGCGAGGGCGATTACCACCATGAGGGGCCAGCTTCCTCCTCTCATGTTTACTTGTCTTGCTGCAGGCTTGCCTCTTGAAAAAAAAGGCAGTACCATTGCAGCAGTCGTACCAGTGAGCGACAGCTTTCAGCTTGAATAGCACCTATCGAATGAAGTGTGCTGCTGCTGCTTTTCTGCCACTGCACCTCGTCGTCGATTCCGTTTGGCCAGCTTGTTCGCGGCCGTGCAGCAACAATGGCGAGTCGTTGCTAGCACTTTTATCTCCTATCCGGATCTCTTCCAGCTCGTCCACTTGTCCTGCCCCCGCCCGCGCGGAGCACCAGCTGTTTAATTGCTTCGACGCACAAGTTTTCTTCAGCAGAGCAAAGACTGCCCACTAATCCAGGGCCACTTGGGGCGGCCCGTCCAAGCGCAGCTAACGGATACTGCGCTTGCCTCGCGTTCGTCTTTTATTGGTGTTGTCGATGCCGTTGCTGTTTTTGTCGTTGTTGTTGCTGCTTCTGCTGCTGCTACTGCTGCTGCTTCTGCTTTTCTGGCCTTCGTCGTGGTCGTCGTCGTGGTCGTCGTCGCGCTCGCGTTCGTGGAAGACGGCAATATTAGCAGCATCGCTCGCTTTTATTTGTCAACAGCTATCAAGAGCTGCAGCGAATGCGTATAGATGTAATAAGCACAAGCCTGGCAAACGACGATCAACGTTACAAAAAATATATTTCACTAAGCTCGGGGCTCGGTTCCAACAAGAGAGAGAGAGAAATAGAGATGAAAAGTCAATGCTGCGTTGACCGAGACAAGCAGAAAGAAATTCCGAATAATATAGATGAGAAAGGTAAGAAGTGGTTTTTCAGCACTGATGGGGGGGATTGGCGGGATGGTTTAGCTAGGAAATGAAAGAGGGAGAGAGGGCAGCAGCAACAGTGGGCAAACGACACTTTGCTGTATTATACACTTGTTGTTAGTATTTCGATAACGGCGACGATACTCTACTCGACTGGACTCGTTCATATGTTATACTCGTGAAGGTTCACTCGGGCTGAACACTCGTCCAGCTGTCTTGCTCTGGAAACGTCGTCCTCGAGCAAGATTCTATGCTATTGTACAAATCGATCGAGCTTCAGCAACGGTAGCAGCACTAGTAGCGGTATCGCATGGTTCAAGCTCGACGACGAGGAGAGCGAGCAGAGAGAGCCCGAGCTTGCGCGCGCTCCAGAGACACATACACACTCGCTCGCTCGCTCGCTTTCTCTCTGCCTCGGAACAGTACTGGAAACGAAAACGCGTGCTCCCGTCTTTAAAGCTTCGTGCCCTTTTTTTCTTTCTTACTCTCTTTTTTTCTCTCTGTATATAATTTTTTGTATCTCTTTGTCTTTGTCTTTGTCTTTATCTCTCTCTCTCTTTCTCTCACTCTCGGAGATGATAAGATTAGCCAAGACAACGAAAAACAATACCTCGATAAATAAAAAGAAAAAATAGTAATTTCCAGCGGTAAGCAAGTCCGACTCAAGTTTAGCGAGTTTTTAGAGGAGCAACGCGTGACTTGTCGCTTGCCTCTAACGGGCCAGAAAAACTCAAACTCACTTGTGTAGCACCACACGTATATAATGAACGATCGCAAGCTCTAAGCTAGCCAGCCAGCCAGCCAGCAGCCTGCACACGACTGCTGATGCGGCCTGCTGCTCCAAACGGGAAACGCGTGAGCTTGTGAGCAAGAGAAAGAGACGGAGAGAAGAGCAGAGGCTCGCCTGGAAAGTCAGCGGTGGTGGTAATGCTGCTGCTGTGGATGCTGATGCTGGTACTAGTGCTTTAGGTGGAGGGGCGGCAGGACTGCGCACCTACACTCGCATAAGAATCGTAAAATAAAGAATTGCGAACTCACACTGTTTTAGCTGGGCGTGCGTATGAGTGTGCGTATGTGTGTGTGCGTATGTGTGTGTGTGTGTGTGTGTGTGTGCGTGCAGTATAGCTGCTTGTCGAGCAGCAATGTCAGGCAGGATTTCGAAACGACGTATGAGCGCTAGATAAAATGCGCAAGAAAGATAGAAAGAGAGTAAAAGGTCGAAGGTATAACGACCAACGATCCTCCGTATGTGTGCGTTTACATGCGTGATTCTCGCCAACAGTCAACGTAGCTGTTGAGTCGAACTTATACCCAGCATCTGTACTAGCGACAGCCTTCTAGCGAGCTTTTTGGACACAATCCTTCCGCGTACGGTGCTTGTAGCTGTTCGTGAAAATCGTGAGCTAAAAGAGGACATACGAACCCGTGCCTCGGCCATTATACACGGAGGGAGTTTGCTCTAGAAGATATGAGAGAGAGAGAGTGAGAGAGATAGCTTAACACAGGCACACAGACACAGCCTCTGTATACGGTTCTGCGCCTGTATGCGTATCGTGTCGTGGAGCGCTGGAGGGATGCTGCACGAGCGACCCCGCTTTGACATAGAGCCCCACTACTGGCTGCTTCCAGCCTCTCGGTGGTGGCAGTGGCGGCGGTAGCGGCGGCGGCGGCAATGGCCGGAGACGGGGGGTCGGGCGGTTACGGTGCAGCAGCAGCCCACTGCATCTGCTCCCGCGCGGCGGGGCAGCTCGCGCGCTCGCCTTATTACGCTTCTTGCTTCCACCCTCATTAATCTATCTTACTCCTCCAGCCGCGCACACGGATGCACACGCAGCTGCCACGAGTGCGCGCGTCTGTTGCTGCTGCTACTGCTGGGCTTTTACTTTCTATAGGCGCGTATGTAGGTGAACTCTCCTCTCGGCGTGTTTGTGGTGTCTGCACTGTGCACTCGCAGCTCGGTCGAGCTCTGCGCACGCGTAACAGTTTTAAAATGTATCGAAGAGAGAGAGAGAGAGAGAGAGAAAGAGAAACATGCATTAAACACACGTGTAGCCTCATTTCTGACTTGAAAGTTTCCACTTCTTTCTCTATCTTTCTTTATTTTTTCCCTGCCTGTCTTTCTAGCTTGATCGTTCAGGTTGGCGTAGCTATGCAGCATTGCACGATACATCAAGCTTCAGCCACAAAGCTTTCTTCCTTTATTCTCTCTCTCTCTCTTTCTCTACAAATAAACTGCACACATATAAGGTCACTACGGTTGTTCTATTGCTCTAATCGTTTTGATTTCTCATTTGATTTCTTCTTTAGATATTTTATTCGAGTGTCTACGCCTTGTCCTTTTTTATTATCTTTGTTTACTACCTCGGGCCTCATGTAATGAACTGTTTAGAAAAACAATGAGCCTCCTACGTTATTATTTTGCCACAGATGTTGTTTAGTAGGACACTAGTACCAGAGCAGCTGACTTCGAAACGCCACAAAGGAGAAAGCACATTTTTGCCCCTTTACAAGTTGTATATACACGTACATATAAATCTAAATGTAGTTGTGTGTATACGTGTTTTTACGTGTATTCGTACGTATATATCTTGGCTATTTATTTTTCTCCCCTTTCTGTCACTTACGCCTGGAGTCATAGAAGTATTATACACACCTACACGTACACGCGCAGCTGTACATGAGTTGTACCGGCTGCATTTAACGACCGCTACAAGTGCGCGTCTCTTATAAGAGTGAAAGATGGAAACAGAGAAAGGGACAGAAAGACGAAGAATGAGAAAGAGAGAGAGAGAGTAACCTGAACGCGTTATAAGCTGAGATTATAGTGTGCAGTGTACATGCATATATATGTGTGCAGTCTAAGTACGTATAGATATGTATTGTACGCGAAACGTCAGTTCTTATGTCTCTCAGTCGAGCCCAACGTAGGTGTTGTCTAGTTGTTGCTAGAGAATATGTATATTCGAGTAATAGCATGTGATGCGATTCAAGTGCTCTTTCACTAGATTTTAAGCTTACATTTATACACATGCATTTACCATGTGTATTTTCGTTATGTGTGCACACATAGACCAACTGTAGTATTATAAAGTTGAATTTTCGACTGCAGCAGCAACTTGTTCTGAGGAAAAGATAAGCTTCTTAGAATCTTATGCCTCTATCGTTCTCTTTGTATATATTCGAAGCTGAAGAGAGCCAAAAGAGAAAAAAGTTCATTGAGAAGCAACTTGTTCTTTTTTTTCTAGTAGAGATTATTTACGTTCACGCGTGCTTCAAGTTTACACTTTTCTTTGGAAAGATAGTATAAACATTTTTATCGGTTTTATTCTCTACATCTTACTACTCTTCTTGCCTCTTCTTTTTCTTCTTTTTGAATTGCTACATTTCTCCGATATGCGTGATCCATATTTTTTTCTCCGCGTCACTCGCGCGCGCGTGCTTTCTTGCTTTTTCGACTTTACATGGTTTGCTTTTCAGTTTTTGTACCAACCTTCTTTTTTTTTACTGCGCATCACGAAAACAGCAGCTGCGCCAGAGACTTTGCTATTATATATTATCCATACATAGAAGAATATCGCGCTACGTTACACATACTTATATATCATATACAGCGTAAATGTGTTGGCGAATTTGAAATTCTGCATTTCTTGCCGAAGATTTCGTGACTATTCGCGATGTAACACTGCCATCTGTTGTCAGCCATATGCCATGCTCTCTGACATCATTTGCTATTCCGTTCAGTAAATAGTCGCACATGCAACTGATTTGCATACATGTCGTTTTTGAGGTCACGTGTTCCAGGAAAAAAAGTGTATTATCATAAATATCCAAAATTTATTTTCAAATGAATCAATAAAAAACGATTGCTGTATTATTAATCATGAATCAACAATAGATTTTACAATCACGACGAAATCATTGGCACATTTATTAATATTCAATAGCGGCGCTACTTGGCTTAAAAAAAAATTTGCCATTATAATGAAGTTAGTCTTCAACAACTTCCCGAATGAAGCTGAGGGTGAACTGGCAAATTATTTATGAGCGCAAAGAAATAAACTCTCTCTTACGCTCTATATGCATTTTATTTTGTACTGTCTTTGCTAATAGGTGACTCTTAACTGATTCGGCTAGTGTAGTTAATTTATTTTGACCCTTGTTGTACCCGAGGGCCCCATGCCATAGTGTTGTAAACGTCCTTTCTCCCCTACTTTCACTCTATATTTTGCAGCCGTGTCAAAGAGTCAATTTTCAATGGTTTAATTCTCGAAAATAAGCATGGTAACAGGTTCACTAGATCACTCAATTACGTTCTTCCCGAATTTCAAGACCTTGTATCAAAAAATGTTTGGATAAAGAGTCACATTAAGCCACTTTAGGTGTGGCAGTTGAAATTTAAACATTTTTTCCTTCCTCTTTGCTGCTACTACTCAAAACGGTAAATATTGAATATTTTTTATTAACTTTTACAATCCATGATACTGTCATTAAAGTTAACCCAAGTAGGAATCACATTGTGGGCTAGTACTGGGCCAGTACTGATGCCAAAGATGACAGTAATAATATTGAGTAGGGGCCAATACTGGCAACGTTCTGAGAATGATAACAAATATTCAGTATTGTGACCCAGTACTGCTGCATCAGTATTTCAAATAAATTCATTATTCATTTTAAATATTTACACGAATGAATATAATCTTACAACAATAAACAAGCTTTATGAAATTTCGCTACGCTCGAGTGAAAACAACTCCTGGATGAGTCAACTGCTTCGCGCACTTGTTACAAAATATACTATTACGTGCTTTCGTATGGTTCGATCTAGTTCGGCTAAATCTATTATACTCGATATCGCAATTAAGTTAAAAATCTAATTCTTAATCGTAATTTTGTCTGGCAATGAACAAAGCAGCTTCGGGCAGCGTAAGCGCTTGCAAAAAATAGAGTTTAAAGCGACCCGATGTAATGTCTGATCGAATCCAGGCTGTTTCACTTGGGCGACACTGCGCGTTTATCGGACACAAACGAGCTTCGACTCTCCTAGCGATAAATGGAAACTCGATTTTATTCTAAAAATTAATACTAGGTTTTACGAATTTTTATTTTGACAATGGCGATTTGTTGTACGTAATAGCTTTCCCTAAATCTTAAGCAATATAAAAAATCAAATAGGTAAAAAACTAAAAAAAAATCCAAAAACATGAATCGAACAAGTAATAGTCAAAACAAAAAAACTTAAATAGAAACTGAAAAAGTCAAGAAATAATAATAAAACTCAGAAGATCTCAACACAAGCATCGATGTTTCACATCTGGTGCACAATGAATGAGCGCTTACTCTTAAAGTCAAAGTAGTTTCTTGAGCACCAAATGTGAAACATCGATGCTTGTGTTGGGATCTTCTGAGTTTTATTCTTGTTTTTTGATTTTGGGTTTTTTTTTAGTTTTTTAAGTATTTGATTTTTGTTATTATTACTTATTTTATTATTCATTGTCTTATTTTTATTTTATTTAGCTTTGAACTTGTAATTCTTCAATTAATTGATAAAGATGTTCCATATCTCGACAGCTGCTTTTTTTCATTCATATTTTTTTCAATTTTTTCTAATTTTCATCATTGTTTTATTTAATTTATCAATTTCTTTTCAAATTTTCATTGTTACTTAATTATTTGATTTGTTAATTGATTTGTCCACAATTTATAACCAGAAACCTTGGTGAACCTGGAAATGACTATAGTACCTTGCCAGAATCTCCTACATAGTTTACACAGTCACTCTATACTACATAG